GTGCAGGCCCAGCGGGGAAATACTGGATAGCAGAGAAAACAGCAGGGTACTAGAGGGCAACAAATTCACCCCGTGCCCCTCCGCTGGCTTGTACTCCTGCACCCATGGGCCCCATGGCACAGGTGCTGCACAAACACAGAGGGAGATGTGGTCCCTGTTGCAAAGAGCTCACACTCTCGCCTTCCTCTGACCCAACAAAGCTAGAGCTGAGACACCAGGTGGTGGGCCCAGTGCTCCGAGGAGGCACCGAGAGGCCTTTTTCAAGATGCTCCGCTGTGCTGGAGTGTCCTGCTCACATGCTCAGGGTCGAACTGATCCCCAGATTGGGGGTCAGGCAGGACATTCCCCCAGGCCAGGTTGGCAGGGACCTGGGTTTCTTTCCCCTTCCTCTGCAGCGTGGCTCACCTGCTGGGGTCACCTGTCGCACGTCATCGGTTCCCTGCCATCACAGGGCCCTGGGCACTGGCGGGATCTTGGCTCCATTCTCTGCCTGCGGCACACAGCAGTGCAGTCTCCTGGGGGCTAAAGTCTGCGGACTCAGTACCCCGGTATCTGGGCCGCGATATGCAGGAGCTCAGAGTGCGTGAGTGGCTGGGCCCCACTGGCCTTAAACTACATGAAACATGAACAAGTTACCGAAGGGGGGGTGTCCAAAGCCCCGATGCTTTAGCAGGATCAGCGTCCGGGGTGGTGCCAGGGGATGGGACAGTGTCGGGGGGAGCAAGGGCGACACCTGGGGAAGGGAGAGTATCTGGGGGAATGAGGGTGTCGTCTGGGGCAGGGGCAGCATCTAGGGAGCTGAGAATGTGGGGGATGGCAGCGGCTGGGGGCTGGGACAGTGTCTGGGGGGGCAGAGTCAGAAATCCGTCTTTGCTTCATTGACAGTGAGGAAGCTGAGACCCGCCCTGGCTGCCTGGGGGACTCCAGTTCCCTGGGCCCCTGTTCCAGCGCCACCTTCCCCGCCCCCGCCCGTCCCTGGCAGTGACTCCTCCTGGCCTCATGGGGCACAGGATTTCCCAGCTGCTGGGTTTTCCGCCGTGCACCTGAAAGCTCTCCAGGCATAGGCTGTGTTGTGGAGTTTCCTAGTCTCTGGTTTTGTTTGGGGGGGTTAAAACAGGCCCTCCAGCACTTGCCTAGAGACCAACTGGAGAGTGCCAGAAATGAACCAGGGTGTCTCTTCGACTGTGCCTGGCCTGGGGCAGGGCCCTGAGCCCTGGCTGCGCCGTGCACAACACTGGGTTCGGGAAGGCCAAAGTTCCACACCCGCGTGTCTACTTTAGTGGGGCCGGGATTCCACGCTGTGCCCTGCCGTGTGTGCAGAGCAGCCCCCTCGTGTCACAGCCCTCGGACACCACCGACCAGCTGCGGTTCGTTAGACGCTAGCAGGCGTTGGCCAAGCCAGCTCTCACAGGCACTCGCCACGGCCCCCTCTCGTCTCTGGTTAGCTCACACTGCTCGATGCTGGAGCCACGCAGTGCGGTCACTCGGTGTTATCACAAATGGCTGACGGATTTTGCTCAAACTTAACAATAAAAACCAAAACGTCCCCTTGGACTGAGCCCAGGCCTGGGAAATTTCAGCCCAAAGAACTAAAGTTCTGGGAAGTTAGAAGCCACTGCCAAAGGGCTTGGAATGGAAACACTTGGGCCGACCAAAGCCACGTGTTATCCTCGTGCCAGTTTGCGGGAGTGGATCTGTAGGGCCTGGCAGCGGGGCGGTTCTCGGCTGGCAGCGGGGGAAGGATTGGGGGCCTTACGTTTCACTACGAAGGTGGCAAGGTTCAGGAGAAACCTGACTGACAATCCACGCCAAGGACCCAGCCGTAAGGAAGGCCTGTTCCGACAGGCTTCCCCTGGACCCGCCAGTGCCGGGGACCCCTGCTGCGCTGGGTTACAGAGATGTGCTAGCCGGCACCCAGGCCATTAACAGCTTTGGTGTCGAACATCAGGACCTTTTAAAGTCTATTGCCAGGAGCGTGCCTGGCACCGTGTGGGCTAGCAGGCCTGGTGCTCAGGTCCAGCACTGGGTGGGGAGCCAGACACCCTGGGCACTGGAGTAAGATGGTTTAATAGCCTGGCGGTGCCAGCCAGAGTCTACTCGTGACCTCCCCTTTCATCCCCGGTGCAGTACAGCCAGGATATGCTGAACTCTGGCCAGCTGGAACCGGTGAGTGGGATTTCTGGCTGCTGTGGGCTCAAGGCTGGGGGCCGACTTGACAAGCAGGGGCAAGTGCCTTCCGCAGCGGGCGTCTCCCTTGGCGCTGGGTGACTGGAGTCAGTACTTATCCGGAGGGGAGCATGCCCCCTACTGAGCACCCAGCCCGCCCCCTGCCGCACTTCCGTGTTCCTAAGATCATCCATCCAAGGACTGAGCTGGCTCAGCCCTGCTGAGCTTGAGACCAGGGCAGGCGACTGTCTCAGGTTCAAAACCCTCCTCTCCCCCTGGGGGCCAGGCGGATCCCAGGGAAGACGATGCAGTGCTGCCATCTCTGTGCTGGACTTCAGCACGTCCTCTTCTGGGTGAGATGCCAAACGAAGGACAGGGCCCAGGGTCGGGCGTTAACCCTGGTGTAAGGCCATCCCCAGAAGTGGCTGCATTTCAGAGGTAGCTCAGTAAAATGCCCGTGAATACACAAGCGATTTAGATCCCTTTGGATTGACAAGTGTGAGGGAAAGTTTCATCCCTTGTGCACTTGGTGGCTGCAAAGGACCCCCAGCAGTCCCCGAGTCCCACAGACACCTGGAGTCCCCTGCTCCTCCCTTCTGTTGGGGAGAATTGTTTCCATTGGAAATGCAGACTCATGCTCAAGGCCCAGACACGGGGCAGGAAGCCCGCAGCCGTTCCAGCGCCCAGCAGGCCTGGCTGCTCGGGCTGTCAGCGTAGCTGTCAGACAAGGCGTCCCACATTTGTACTTGTGACCTGATTCTTTACCCCAGGATCTGCCCCCGGCCGAAGCTGATCTGGGCCGTTCTGGTCTGGCCTGCCCCATGGAGGGGCAAAGAATCTCGTCCTGGATTCTCCCTCCCTGGGCTGTGGCCCTGCAGCAAACAAGGGGTGTTTCCCCCGGGCTGCAGCTGCTGGGCTGGAGTTTGGCTCAGGTGGAATTTCCCGGCAGCTCTGATCCACTCCAGGATTTGGCTGCTGTACGGATCTGTTATAAACACCCTCTCCCCCTCCTCCTCCGAGGGGCTTGCTGGGGTCGGGGAGGGAGCTGGGTTGTATGTGACTTACCCCCAAGCAGAGTGGGAGTCCCAGGATCTGTCCCCGAGCGTCACTGGAACCCAGTGACCAGAGCAGGGACCAGGGAGGCACAGAGCTGCTCCTCTTTCAGAAGAGGGTTGAGACGAAAGCTAGCGCAGCGCCTTCCTCTGGGGCTGCCCACGCACGTACATCCCCTTGGGGCAGGGCAGCCAGGACATCAGATTGTGCCTGGCCTGGAGCCCCTCACTGGCACATCCGAAATAACATCTCCAGCCTCGCTGGGACAGGAGTGGGGCCAGGGTTACAGCAGAGGGGTGGGTTCTACCTCAGCTGTGGGAGAGGAGCAGGGATCTAATGGGTTAAAGGGGGGGGGATGGGGCTGGGAGCCAGGACTCCTGGGTTTTATCCTGGCTCGGGGAAGGGAGTGGGGTCTAGTGGTTAGAGCAGGGGCGGGAGCCAGGACTCCTGGGTTCTCTCCCCAGCTCTGGATGGTGTGATGAAGTGGGACTGTTCTTAATGTCTCCTCTGAATAGTGTGGGGGTGCCTCAGTTTCCCCTATGACAGGTTTCAGAGGAACAGCCGTGTTAGTCTGTATTCGCAAAAAGAAAAGGAGGACTTGTGGCACCTTAGAGACTAACCAATTTATTTGAGCATGAGCTTTCGTGAGCTACAGCTCACTTCATCGGATGCATTCAGCTCACGAAAGCTCATGCTCAAATAAATTGGTTAGTCTCTAAGGTGCCACAAGTACTCCTTTTCAGTTTCCCCTATGCAATTCTTAAGTATCTAGGTGGTGGGAAGTATCTAGAGGGTGGGGTAAGGGTGTATGATCATTGCAGAGCCCTAGAGGGCAGGTGTGTGCAGGGGTCTGGACACAGAGAATGGCCGACACCCTGTTTCCTGGCCACTGATGGCCTGGGCCCTTCCCCCCTGCAAGGTGAGAGCTAAAGGGTTGGAGAACAAAGGAATCCGGTGACCTCCTGGCCCGGGAAAGGGACAAAGCCCAGAGCAGGGCGGGGCTGGAGGGCGTTTCAGTTTGGGGCTGGCTGGGGGTGAGGAGTGAAGGGCAGACGGGGTTGTCTGGCTCACTGCCCCCCAAAATGGACCCAGCTGAAGGGTCCTGTTCTCTGCACCTACAAGCTCTGTGTTAGACCATGTTCCTGTGGTCTAATAAACCTCTGTTTTCCTGGCTGGCTGAGAGTCACGTCTGACTGCGGAGTTCGGGGGCAGGACCCTCTGGCTTCCCCAGGACCCCCGTCTGAGCGGACTCGCTGGGGGAAGCGCACGGAGGGGCAGAGGATGCTGAATGCTCCGAGGTCAGACCCAGGAAGGTGGAAGTGGTGTGAGCTGTGTGTCCTGAAGACAGGCTGCTCCCAGAGAGGAGACTCCCCAGAGTCCTGCCTGGCTCCATGGGGAGCAGTTCCAGAGCATCGCCCAGGGACTCTGTGACAGATGGGGAGCAGGGTCTAGTGGTTAGAGCAGGGGGCGGGAGCCAGGACTCCTGGGTTCCATCCCAGCTGGTGCCTGCCCCTCCCTCCCCTGGGAGCCCCAGCGACCCTGCGGGGAACTAGCCCGCATTTGTCCCACCCAGGGGAGGCGCCGGGAGCGCGGCCAATCCGTCCAGCTCGGAGGCGCCCGGCTGCTCCCCCGGGGATGCGCTGGCTGCAGGGGCCGGCCGCGCCGCTCCCCTCGCCCCGCGGCGCAGCCTCCTGCGAGCCGGCAGGGTCCAGCCCGGCTTTTCGCTGCCTCCGCGCCCAGCCGCGACCGGGCTGAGTACGGCGGCGGGGCCGGCTAGGGCGATGGACGCTCTGGAGCGGCGCTGCAGGGACGCCGCCACCTTCGACTTCTGGACCGACTACCTGGGGCTGTGCGCGCTGGTGGGCCCGGCCGCCGCCCTGCGCCACCCGGAGCAGCGCTTCGCCCTGCTGCGCCCCTTCCAGCCCGCCGGCGCCGGGGGGGCCTCGCAGGGCGGCTGCGCGGGCGGGGCCGGGCCCCTTCGAGCTGCCGGGCGCGGAGAGGAAGGGGCGCAGGGGGGGCCCCGGCGGCGGCCGCGCCAAGCCCGAGCTCAAGGTCTGCGTCTTCTGCCGGAAGAACGGCGCCCCAGGAGGTCTTCGGCTCGCACCTGCTGAAGGGGCTGGACGGCCGGGTGCTGTGCCCGGCGCTGCGCGCCTGCACCTGCCCGCTGGGCCGCGCCCGCGGGGACAATGCGCACACCCGCCAGGACTGCCCGCTGTCCCGTCAGCTGTCCCCTCTCCCAGCGCCGCCGGCTCCCCTCTCCCCGCGGGCCGCCGGCTCCCCTCTCCCCGCGGGCCGCCGGCTCCCCTCTCCCAGCGCCGCCGGCTCCCCTCTCCCAGCGCCCCGCGGGCCGCCGGCTCCCCCCGCCGGCTCCCCCTCTCCCAGCGCCCCGCGGGCCGCCGGCTCCCCTCTCCCAGCGCCGCCGGCTCCCCTCTCCCAGCGCCCCGCGGGCCGCCGGCTCCCCTCTCCCAGCGCCGCCGGCTCCCCCCGCCGGCTCCCCCTCTCCCAGCGCCCCGCGGGCCGCCGGCTCCCCTCTCCCAGCGCCGCCGGCTCCCCTCTCCCAGCGCCCCGCGGGCCGCCTGGCGACGGGGCCGGGGCCGGCCTGGACCAAGAGCAACCGGCACCTGCGGGCACCAGCGGTGGATTGCACGCTCCGCCTGACACAGGCCCTCGCCTTGCACACTCCGCCTGCCATGCACCCGCCTCGCACATCAGCCTGACAGGTGGACCTGCATTGCCCATGCCCCCACATCACACAGGCACCCAGATTGCACGGTCAGCCTGACACATGCGCCGCATCGCACACACACCTGGATTGCACACTCTGCCTGACACATGCTCCTCCATCGCCCATGCACACAGATTGCACACACACCCAGATTGCACACTTAGCCTGACACACCCCTGCATCACACACAGACAGATTGCACACTCAGCCTGACACATGCACCCGGATCACACCCACACACAGGATTGCACACTAATGCTGACACACACCCCGCCTTGCACACTCTGCCCAACACACACACACTGCATTGCACACTCAGATCAACACACATCCTGCATCACACGCCCACATTGCACACTCAGCCTGACACCCCTCTCTGCATCCCACACTCAACCCAACACACCACTTTGCACACATCGCATCACACACTCAGCCCAATCCACACACACTGCATTTAGGGTGACCAGACAGCAAGTGTGAAAAATCATGCCAGGTTGGGGGGGGGGGGTAACAGGTGCGTATATAAGACAAAGTCCCGAATATTGGGATTGTTCCTATAAAATGGGACATCTGGTCACCCTAACTGCATCCCACACTCAGCCCAACACTGCCCCACATGGCCCAGATATCCCTCAGCCCGACACCCACACACTGCATCCCACTCAGCCCAACATACCCAGAGCATCGCACACTCGCCCCTCACGCCTGCCCACGCAGCCCTCTCCATGACCACGGCCACCCACACATTCACCAGCGCCCCACGCACATGCAGGCGAGCCCTGGGCAGCCCTCTCTTTGCCCCTGCTGGGAGAGGCAGAGGGAGGGGATGGAGGTGCTGTCGTCCGCCGCCCCCCCCCCCGGGGTTACTCTGAGCTGCATGTAAGGAACGGGACCAGGAGCCAGGGAAGGAGCTGGCCTGCGGTGGGGGCCTTTCTGCAGCGGCTCCAGAAGAAGGGAGGAGAGGGCTGTCACTGGATGCCTTAGTGACCCGCCGAACCAGTGCTGCAGACAAACTGGACCAGCATAAAAAGCAACCCCCCTCCACTTCTCCCCCCCCCCCCCCCCAGCCTGGGCCACAGCGTGTCTCCTCCCCTGCCAGTCTGGAGGGCTGGGGGCTGCAATGTCTTCCCCTGCCCCCTCCCCCAGCCAGGGGCACTGGCGCTGGGTGTGTCTCCCCCCTCCCTTGGCCTGGGGCCTCCCTGCCTTGCTGGTTTCTTTCCAGCTGCCTCCCTTCACACTGTGAGTTTTCCCCTTTATGAAAATTCTTGTGTCTGTCTCCTCAATTGAATTGCAGAGAGACAAGATTCCCCCCCCACACACACTTCCCTCCCCACACCTGACTCTGCAGGTGCTCTGGGTGGGCAGACTGGGGTGAAATCTGATGTTGACATCCCCTACACCTCCTCACCCCCAGCAAAGAGAGATTGTCTTAAGCTTTTAGCTCAACATTTGGGGAAAAAATGGAAATGCAACAGTTGCATCCAAAGACACTTTGTGGGGGTGTCTGACTAGCATAGATCTTTGCATTGTACAGAACTGTCTGTGTCGGTCCGCACAGTGTGTGCGGGAGTGTGTGCTGTGCATATGTAGCTCTGCGTGTGTGTGCGAACTCGCACACCTCATCCAAATATGATGCAAAAATGTCTTTTTCGTATTGAATGTATTAGATTCTAAGAGGTGATTATTGTCTGACCAGGACTGCACATATCAACGCGGTTTTGTTTACCAAAGTGAATCCATTTTTTAAAAAACGATTAAAAAAAAAGAGATTTAAGGAAAATGTGTTGGATTTGCTGTGCTGTATATAAAGTGTTTATTGTAAATATGGTATTTTAGCTTGTCCGGGTGATCAGTGAGGGCGTCTACCTCAAGCGAAAGAGTGGGAGCTTGCTTTGTTTCTCTGACAATTTCTGAGTTTTACTGGCTGTTGAAGACAAATAACTAAAGTTTATAAACGTTTCCTGCTGTTTGTAAGAGGATTTAATAGTATGTAATAATTTTAATAGGTATTTTTCAATCTTTGTATAACATAATTGTATTTTTTTTTGCATTACATATTTTTGGGATATTATTTCAATGGAGCTTTTAAAAACCAGCTAACACCACAGATTGCGAAGTGGCTCACTATTTGCGTGTGAGAGTCTGGAGGGCTGTGACTGCCAGTCCGGGGGCTGTGGCTGTGATGTCCCGGCCTGGAGGGCTTGGGGCACGTGGCTGGGCCGTGGTGTCTGTTTTGCCAAGTGTCTCTGAAGTTTTTATTAAAGAATAATACTGATGCTGACGATCCTGTTGAGATTTTTATTTCTCTGTTGTCACTGTTGCTGGATGCTGCAGTGCAGATGTTCCCCAGAAGGAATCACTCAAGTGATAAACAGTTTGACCAATTATTGCAAAGGCCGTTGGTGCGTCTGGTCTTTTGGTGCTGGGGGCAGGTGGGGAGCGAGGCTTGGAAAACGACCTGATGGAGCTAGATTTGGGTCTCCCGCAGCAGCAGCAGCTTCCCTGGCTTGTTCTGCTGCCAGTGGATCCCAGCAACCCCCCAACCTTTTGGGGAGATCTCTTGGCAGCTGGGGTGCTCGGAGCCCTCAGTCTAGGCAGAGCCCCTGGAGGAAACACAGTCTGGCCAGGGTCTCGCATATCGTGGGGTTCGAACTCTGCTGGCAACCCACATGCGAAAATACAATGTCCCTGTGTAAGAGGACTGTCCCCTGCGCACGCGTCCCCGGAGCAGCTCAGGCTGCCCAGGGAACTCCAGCTGGCCGTCGGTGTTCTGTCACGGGGGGTTGTATTCGGGACGCCCTCTGCGGCTCCCCCTAACTTAGTACCCGGTACAGGACTGGCTGCCTCAGGGTGCTGCTTCGGAGCTGTAGCTGGGGCCTTTCCCCTGTAGGGGCCTGCTTGACTCCTGCCCCGTTCAGCAGAGATTAGGGGATGTCGGTGGCCCCTGTATTTGGGGGTCTCAGCTCCTGCATCACACACTGACCTCCCCCCCGTGCTCTGCACTGACTGGACAGAGCCAGCAGAGAGGCCAGGCACTGCCTGGGCCATGGAGACTGAACACACCCCAGGGATCCCTCCAGGGAAGGTTCCCACCCCCTGGCAGGGCTGTGAATGGCAGGGCTTGCCCAGCTGCTGCCCTGGAGAGATGGGGGCATCCCTCACCAGGACTGCCGGTCTGATGCCTTTACTAGCATTAACCCTGCCCCCAGCCGCCCCCACCCCAAGCAGGGGTCCCGTCTTGACCCTGTACTGCTGCAGGCTCTTTTAGCTCTTGGAGCTAGAGGACGTCTCTTTGCAGCACAGGTGAGGGAGTTCTACTGCCAAGACACAAGAAAAAAGGGGGACAGGCCCATCCTGGACCAGAAAGTTCAACACCTTTATCAGAGAGAGAAAATTCCAGCTGGGGTCCCAGGCCCCCTTCAGCCCGTCCATAGTCCCCAGCAGTGAGAACCCTGTTCCCCCAGGCCCCAGGAAACACCTCAGCTGTGTAGTAGGAGACCCCACTCCAGCAGGGCCTTCCCTCAGGCCCCGAAGCGCATGGCAGTGGTCACAGGATGGCTGGTTCCGGCCGATCCGGGCGCCAGACGGGGTTCACCAGTTCCAGACTCTGTCTGCTCGGCTGGGGCTGAAGATAAACGGCGACCCTGATTCTGTCCCCTGCACAAAATCCTGCTCACTGCCCTCGACTCGAGGCCCACGCCAGGAAGGCTGCTGTCCTACAGACCCTGTGCCCTGCTCCGCCGGCTTGCCCGGGGACGACGAGGAGGGCTTGTCTCAGGCTGCTAGGACCCAGCGTCCTGCTCAGTACGGCCGGTGGAAGGGTGTGTCTGTTGGGGGAACCTTTGTCTCCTCTGCCAACCCCAAAGTAAGTGCTGGCTGGCCACGGAGCCTGGGGCCCTCATCTGGGCAGGAGCCCGACCCAAGCACTTCGGTCGGCTCAGGCGCCAGGTGGCCCCACACACCCCTTGGGACTGGGGGGCTGTGAGAACGGGTGCTCAGCCGGTGGGCACGCCCTTGGCTCCGCTCGCATCGCTTAGGGGGGCTCACCTCTGGCACCCCCTGCTGGGCCCTCCCTGGAACTGCAATGGCTTTTCTCCCAGTGTCTTCTCCCAGCCACCCCCCCAGGGCCTGCTGGTGCTGGACCCTCCAGCCAAGTCACGTAAAGCCAAACCCCTTCGGGGGAACAAGTCCAAAGAACTATTCAAACCAGGCTGCAAATGACCAGCCCTTGTGCCCCTTGTTACCTGAAATTGGGCCAGCTGGTAAGCTTGGGGGACTAATGACCCACCAGAGTTTGGCAGAAAGCAGCACATTTATTATACTGATAGCTAAGCTCAAAAGAAAGGGGTGTGTGTGTGTGTGTCACACTCACACTCACATACTCACGCTCCCGGGACAGGCCCTGCACTGGAGATGTCAGGATCCTTCAAGGGAAGCGTCCCACAGCGCGGCGATGGGCGGGGCGATGGAGGTCAGTCTTCCCGAGGCATGATGGAGTGCATCGCGGGTGAAGACCCAAGCTTGTGAGTGCCCTGCCGAGCACATGGCCCCTTCCCCCTTTTAAGGACCTGCTCTTCATGGCCTGCGACTAGAGATGACTTGGCCGGGTCTGGCTGGTCACACTCCACCCGGGCAGTGTCCACGCATTGGGCGTGTGACCAAGCCCCAGACACCTTGTCCACCTGGGAGCTCTTCTGATCTTCCAGCTGCTCGAGCAGCTCATTCACCCCACAAGCCTTCCAGGAGGGAGGGGGAGGGGGAAAGCCACTTCACAGGTATTCGAAGGGGGAGAGGAGACCACAAAAGGAGGAGGCGGAAGGTGTAACAGATCCTTTGAACCTACAGGTTATACAGAGCATACAGATCACTGCTGCTCCTGCAACACCCCTCTCTGGCCTCGCTGTGGTTTCCTCATGGATCCTGCCTGTTAAACCCTAGCCCGGGGCTTCTCCTCTGCATCACAGTGACCGGTCTCCTCGGCAGTCCCTCCCCAGCTCAGCTCCCCCAGCCGGTGTCCCCCGCCAGCCAGGCGGCAACTGGTTACTCACCCCTCCCGC